ACCGGGAGGTTAGTAGAAATAGAAGGAGATCCGTTAATTTGGCGGACTTTGCGCCCGCTAAAGGAAAACAGACGCGCCGGCTTAGCGGGTGGCGAACAGCGCGTCCGACGGCCGTCGGGGAACAGAATGTCCCACTGGAACGCAAGGCGCGTTCACCATCCGAGATACAGTCGCCATAGCGTCTGGTGCTACGGCGACTCCTCGCGGCAGTCTTTACTACTACGCTATCTTCTTATGCGTCCTCAAAGGGAATACATGTACAGTAGATCTAAACCACATGAATGTGCCCTTGGTTAAAGAAATGCAGAAAGACAACACTTTCTAGTCATACTTTATTGTTTTCTGTTGTAAAGCATCAAATGTCCTCAGCGGCACATGATGTTGAGCAGATATGGAAAATTGCACAAATTATTAAAATTTCTACTTTGCAAAAAATTTATGCCACACTTGAGTATTCGTTGTCCTCCTGAGGACGCTACTACATGTCTTGACAAAGAGTAAAATTGATTGGTTGGTCAGACCTTTTCTCTCTGAGCCGTGCAAAAGCTCAAGTGGCCACTCTTTATATAGTATGTTTCTCTATGGTATACCTGTCAATACCCGTAAGCAAATACGTATATTCTCGACATGAAGGTAGAAGCTTAAAATATCCAAGTGAATGGTCTAAACCTGCATCAGAGAGAGGGAATTTCCCCCATGGAGGCTTGGTGTGCCGTAACCTTGATACGCTGCCACGCTGTGCAAGTGCGAACCAAGTCACGAATGTTAGCGCGTATGCGCGGCAGGACATAGTGATCAATGACCAGGGGTGTCCTAGCTCTGACGCGTAGATGGCAGATTTAGGTAGCATGTCAAAAACAGCACGACGCAGATGTGGAGGAACGTAGATAGATACGAGTCTAGTTGTTTGAAAAATCACACCAGAGAGTAACGTCGTCGTCGGGAAATTTGACTTGTTCCAGTCAGGGGGGGGGGGGGGGGTGTAGAGGATCGAAGTCGTGGAAGCTCATCTTCTAATGCCTGGGCTTCCGCCAGCGAAGACAATGAAAAGTCAGTAGTGCCTGTAGTGGCATTGATGCTAATACGACTGAGAGCATCCGCTGCATTGATAAAGCTGCCTTGTACATAAAGTATGTCTGTGATGAATTTGGCAATGAAAGCAAGCGGCCTCGGAATCAGTGCTGTCCTCCTTCAGAGCGACGTCGCTTCACATGAGCGAGTAGTTGCGTAAGCCAGCGGCGCACCAACACCTGCGAAGCAGAATAAACAACAGGAATGTCTCGCTGTCGTTTGGGCCATCCAGAAATTTCGACCATATCCGTATGGACGCCACTTCACAGCAATTAGCGATTATCATGCTCGATGCTGGTTGTCCTTGCGGAAGAATTTGTTTGGGCGCCTCAGTCACTGAATGCTTCGTTTGCAAGAGTACAATTTTGACGTTATGTACAGGTCTGGCAAACAGCATTAGGATGCCATACCGCGCTCTTTCGCTGCCTTCTGCTACTTTCATCGCCAACCATGCACCCTCAATGCCTATCAGGTGATCAACCGGCTTCCTCTTCATTCACTTCATCACCCCTGACATTGCTGAGTCGCTATTTTTAAACAGCAGGGCTTTGTTTGCCTCGAGCCAACGTGACGACCCCTACTGTAACCACACCATTGGATACCTAAATGGCTCGCATTCTCCACCTAATACCAGACTAAACGTCGTCAGCTACGGCACTTCAAGCTAGAGAACAATGACCTGCAGCGTAATACTTAAAATACGGATGGGCATCAGTGGGTGCCAGCAGTGTTGCCACGGCTGGTGATTTACCAGTAGATCTATTGATGTTTAAAATTTTCTGCTGATTGAGTGAGAAGACGTCCGAATCTACTGACTTTCTGTCTTTTCTACTGAAGGGATCGCAAGAGCTACTACTTTTTCAGGATCGAGTTCGATTTGACGTGGTGCCATGTGGCGACAGACAAAAGAAGAGCGAAAGCAACCATATTGCCCAAGGAACAAATGTTTGCTAGGAATGCTTAAGCAAGTGTACTTTCCAAACGAACAGCCTGGACAACGGAATAGCAGAAAAAAAACATTTTTTTCCATCAACACGCGTCCCTGCCTTTCCTTTTGCTCTTTACGATCCCGCAGTGATATTGAAAAGGAAGCATCTGCATGATCTACCTTCGCTGGAATGTGGAGGGTTGAAGAAGCACTAAACAAGCTTAGAGCACTAAACCAGCCTGTGAGCCAGTGTTTGCGTGTGTGAAGGATTCTTGCAGGAAAGCCACTCGCAGATTTTTAGAATCGCATTGACAATTCGCAAGAATTTTACTGCATATGTATAAGCAAATGAAGCTTTGCGAACGAGCAGCCTTAGACCACAGGCTAATGGAACAAACAATTTTTATAATGCTAAGCTCCCCCGCTTTTCTTCTCTTCAGCTTCTCTCTTTTTCTGAGTATACAATATTAGCAAAACTTGCTCACAGGCGTGACATTCAGGCAGCGCTTTTTGAAGAACATCTATGGTTCTGAAGCAGCTCTCCGTGGACTATGGAGGGGTCAATGCACGCAGAGGCAGAAAATAATACTACGCACAAATGTTTTCAATGGGACAAAATTGCGACACCATAGGGCATAGGCTATAACGTGGTACATACTTTCAATTCCTTGCAGGGATGCTGACATCCCTGTAAGCGAAGAAATTTCGTTGCACGGGTTCTGAGGAACAGTGTTCACTCAGAAACACTGTGATGGAAGCGCCGCCTGTACTGCATTGACAGAGTTCGTGTCGGCTGTACTGTATTTGCCACGTTCCAGTGCGGCTGTTGAACGAATGTTTTTGCTGTCAACAACATGAAAACAAAGTGGCGGAGTAAGTTGAGCACTGAGACTATTTGTGGCCTTGTTCATATAAAAAGCCTCATGACATCTTCAACATGCCATAATTCAAAATTGACAGCGAGCTGACGACGAGGATGCACAATTTGCACAAAGAGCAGGTCATGTCTACCTGAGGCATGTTCATACACAATAAAGCTTCTTTGCGCAAGCTCGAAGGTGCTCATCGTGTCTGATTTAATGCCTGAAAGAAACACTGCTATCAGTGCTATCAGAAATCAGTCTTGAATCTTGCTGCGTTGACCATAGAGTTATATGGCGTTGACACCTTCGGGACACCCGGGTACTTCAAACTCACCACCAGTAATCTCGCAGTCATTATTCTTGCAACTGCATGAAAGGTATAGTACTCTACGATATATTACTAGTATCACCACTTAATTTGCCATGCAAAAACCAAGCGCAAAGACTACACTTTAGAATCGACTGATTTCGTCTGATATTCCTTGAAAAAATCTGCCGCCATATCTTTGTGTGTCGTGACAACACTGGCCAGTACTTCCCCGTTCATTGCGAAAACAAGTTTTCGAAGCTTTACACGACGATCCGTCAACTGGTCACTAGAGTTTTCAGAAGACTTACAACCGCGTTAGTTAGGCGTTTCTTAGAGCCTGGTCTTTCTACCTTTGTGCATAATTATGTGGCTTCTTGCGCACTTTGTCAATGCCAGAAATAACCATTTTTAGCTCCTACTGGCCTATTACTACCCATTCTATGTCCCAAAACACCTTTTTTCATTGTCGAAATAGACATCGCCAGACCACTTCCCGTAACGCCAGGACGCCACCGCTGGATCGTCATAGCCGTCAACCACCTCACACACTACGCACAGACCGCTCCTCTACGCACTGGCTCTGCCTCAGACGTGGCCTTCTTTATAAAAGCCATTGTATTGCGTCATGGTGCATCTTGCGTGTTGTTAAGTGACCGAGGCAAAGCCTTCTTGTCCACAATTGTTCACGAAATTAAAAAAACGTGTGGCACAGTTCACAAGGCATCAGCTGACCCCCCTCACACAAACGGCCTGACCGAGCAATTCCACCGGACTGTAACCGCCATGATATCCTTGTAGATTGGACCAAACCATAATAACTGGGGCAAAATCTTGCCATTCATGGCATTTGCACACAACCACTGGATATTCACCTTTCTTCCTCGTCTACGGTCGTGTGCCGACATTCACCGTCAACGCCTCTTTCTTCAATGCAACGAAGAAAATCTCCACAACTACTCCAAAATCATTGTCTCCAGGCCGGCTGACACACGACAACGTGCTCGACTCAACACGGAGGCCAGTCAGGAAGAGCGCAAGCAACGCTTTGACAGCTTCTGTCGAGACGTCACCTTCCGTCCTTGAGATGAATTACTACTTTGTACACTTATTCGTACTTCTGAACTGCGTGAAAAGTTTCAGTCACGCTTTCTCGAACCTTACGTAGTTTGTGAACGAACATCTGTTGCCTTGTAAATTGCCTTGTAACTTACGTGCAGGGTACCTCGGACCATCGTTACCGTGCCTCTGAGATAGTCCATGTTTCACGTCTGAAACTCTTCGTTCGACGTACCGTACTTTTTCCGCCTAAGTCTTGGCCGGGACGCCCACACTCAAGTGCGCGGGGAAAATAGGTGTGAGAATTACTTATGCGTTCCATCTTGTCATCTGTTTATACTCATCATCACCACTCCAGTTTGGGTTGTGGGAGCACATACTCGAGACAATAAAGAAGAATCTTGTGGGTTTCAGACTCTGTGCTATATATATATATATATATATATATATATATATATATATATATATATATATATATATATATATATATATATATATATATATATATATATATATATATATATATATATATATATTTGTGTGTGTGTGTGTGTTTGTGTGAGATGTTATACCGCATAGTACGCACTCAGTAACTCCTGCCACAAGGCGTGAACAAAGCATACGCGTTTGCCACAGCAGGAGAAGCGAATATCACGAAAGCAATGATACGAATATTGTGAAGGACGTCCGTTATTGAAGGTCACATTCGATTTTTCGCGGTGTATAAGCAAACAACAAATACATTCCAATCTGAAAAGCTTAAATGACTTACTGAGTGGCTGTCATAAATCGGTGCGAGTGTGTTGCTGATAGGATTACTTGTTTTATTGTTTACATCATCAGGCAGAAGTGTCCACAATAAGCTTGTGGATTGGCTATCATAATATGCCATTTCACCCCCCATGGGTCGCTTAAAACTGCGAGGATCAGGTTTTGTTTTCGGTATCTTGTACACAACGAACCTGCAAAAGATGTAAAAGTTGACCTGCAGAAGTTACTGAAATACGAGTGACCAAATAGTATACTCATAATCACTAAGCCTACATATGACTAGCCCTGTTGAAACTAACACTCTTAACCAGCCAGTTCAAAGCGTATAATATTCTACAGTTAAACTTGTTTTACACTCTCATCATGCATGATTTATTAGATATTTCTGAAAATCTCTTTTATATTACCGGTAATCATCAAACTGTCATCGGCGATTGGTTTCGACGACCATAGCAACAGTCAAGTAATTGCGCCATTTCTTTGATACGCTATGTTAGAAACGTTCTCAGTATTGATGCTAAACGTGTTCAGCTTCCAAGAAATAGCATTGAGACCGGTCCATGCAGCGTCTGGCATGACAAAAGCATCCGCGAAAAGCAAACGGCGTTTCAGTTTAGCGCCGGGCACGTTAAATCTCGAATTTAGCGGAAGACCCAGAAAGACTGCCTCGAAAGCTTTCGAGAACACACAAAGTGCAGTAAGATAGCCTTCAAAAGGTTTACGTCAAACACACCAAGTTTAGCACATCTGCATTAACCTGTACAAATTATAACCGATTTGTTATACCGACGCCTGCTCAGGATGCGGCACTATTTCCAGAACCTTTAACGCCACCTGGTAGAGCGCACCGCCGCCTACTTTTCTCCCCCCCCCCCCCCAATCCATCGGTCCACCCTCCTCTCGCGGTGTTAGTAATATCGTCCGCCGGAACACCAAATAAAATCTTACTCACTCACGCTGTCCACCCGTACCCCGGAGAAGTGGGAAAGCACCCTGCGCGACGGCACACCCGAGGTCTGTCGGGTGCTCGCTCAGCGGGCCCGGGCTGTCGCAGAGGTTGTTATAGGTGTCCCAGAATAGGGACCCCTCCCGTTCTCTCCGAACTTAACTAAACGTTTTTCATCACCAAGCAAGCCGGCGCGTGTAGACGCAAACTAACCGAATTTCCGAGCGAATGTATGACGTGATAAAGAAATGATTGTTTAAACTCGCGTTTTTTTTTTCTCTTCCAATTCACGCATGCAAGGAACATTTTCTGGAAGACAAATACAATGTTTTTAAGATCGCTCCTCGGTATCAGAGCTCGTAGACTTAACGCAGCTAGTTGCTCACTTTGAATTCTTTGGTAGATGACAGTAAGTGCGCGGATTCACGGTATCTAGGGTGATTAAGTTCATCGTCATGAAATCGTTCAAGTAAATAAATATCGAAAGAACACCAGCAACTAAGGCAAATTCTTGCGTCAGCTAGCACTATCCAGTTTGCTTCTATGGTCGCTGCCAGCAGAATGCGCTGACAGTGATCGTAAGACGGTTTAAACGATGTTTTAAAAGAAGGTACGGCAGGACTAGCGACAACACTGGCGAAAGGGGTCGTTGACATGCGCACCACTTCCCCTCAGGTACATGTACTGATATGCACGATACCAGAGGTACCGGTGCGTGACGACAACCTACAAAGAGCGGTTGTCAACGCAAACCGAGAGATATGGCGGATGAGTCGAGAGGAAAGCTTTGAGGTGGTGGAAATAAACAGAGAGGTGCATAAGTGGGGTGGTTTCCAACGACACAGAATTCACTTCGACGAGCGGCTAGATCATGAGGTGGGTTGGCGACTTGCAGGACGCGCAGTAGCTTTTTTGAGGGGCACGCGAGCCCTTCGGAGTGCAGGATAGCTAGTAACGAGGAAAACAACCAGGGAGACTCTTTGACAGGTGGTATGGACAGATACGATTCCAAAGTGGCACCAATATCTAAGATAGGTGGAGTCCGGGGCAGAAATAGACGTAGCCACGAGCGCCGAGCCAATTCAGACATAGGGTATATATATATTACCATGCAGGGTGGCAGAAAGCGCGAAGAGGTAGAAGACCGCAAGGGAGGAAAGGCCGATGGTATATGGTTTTGTAGAAACACATTTTAGGGACATGGAACAACCTCCTAACAATCCGGATTGCGCGTGGGAATAGTGTAATAGAACAGAAGGCAGCAGAAAGGGGGTGGTATTGGCGCATTCATTCATAAAAGTACAGACTGGCAAAGGGTCAAGCAGGAGTGCAAGGAACATTTATGGCTAAAAGGGAAAGTGGCAGGGCAAATGACACTCCTTGGTTTGGTGTACTTGTGGACAGGAGCAAAGGCTAGAGAGGAAAACCAGGCAATGGTAGAGTGTATATCAATGGACATTGAGGAGTTAGGAGGAGAGTGCGAGATAATTATACTAGGAGATATGAATGCGCACATAGAAGATATAGATCGGTATACCGACCCAACAGGCAAAATGATCATGAATATATGTGAAAGACATGATTTGATAATTTGCAACAGTACCGAGAAGTGTGAAGGGCAAATAACATGGGAGGTAGGAAGGCTGCAGTCGACAATAGATTACGCACTGATGTCACATAGAATGTATGATAAGCTCAGGGGAACGCACATAGACGAAGGTGGCTCCAGAAGTCTGGGTAGTGATCACAAACGTATCAAGATAAGTTTTGGAAGAGCAGAGAAAGTGCGAAAAAGACAAGATGAGCAACTACAGGAAAGAAATTTTTATTCAGAAAGGCAAATAGAATTAGCTACTAAACAAATTGAGAAAGTGATCACTGAGGATAATAAAACAGTGTGAACATAGACGAATCTAATTAGACTGTTTGAGCTAGAGCTGGCTAAGGCACGTGACAAGTCACCCCGGAAAAGAAGACAGAAACGCAAGAGTTGGTGGGATGAGGAAGTTAAGAAAGCCACAGCAAACCGTCAGGAAGCTTCTAGGGAACACAGACATGCTAAGCAGCGGGGTGAACCGACAGATGATGTTGAAAGAAAATGAAAAATCTTACTAAGCTGTAGAAGGGATGCATCCCATCTGATAAATGAAAATATTAGAATAAAGGCAGCTCAGTGGCTGGCAGAAGTACGTAAAAAAGATAGAAAGGGTGTTGCAAAATTTTGGAACCATCTAAACTCTCTAAGAAATGAGACGAGCCTAGAGCAGAGGTTTATAGCTACAGCTCAAGGTGCTAGGCTAGAAGGGGACGAATCTATTTATTATATAAGAACAAGGGTGACCGAAAAATTTCAACAAAGAAGTGTTTTACGCACCACGATAAACAAGGAGGAATCAAGTGGCGCAATGGCTACATTTTCACAACGAGAGTGGGAAAGGGCTGAGAAGAGGGTTCCTAATAGCATCAACAGGGCCAGATGGCATTCCAATTATGCTGATAAAGACATTAGGTCTGAAGTCTAAGCAGGTTTTAAGAGAACCAGTGAGCAAAATAACAATTGATGGTGAAGTCCCCGATAGATGGAAACTTAGCAGGATGAGCATGATCTAGAAAGCAAACGGGGACAAAGCTGACATAAACAACTACTGTCCTTAACAGCGACATCAGTGGTCTAGAGGCTGGCGATGCAGATTATAAAGGAAAGACTGCAGGCATGGATAGAGGATGAGGGGGTGTTGGGGGAACTGCAGAATGGGTTTCGGAAACACAGGAGGATGGAAGACAATCTATTATTACTGACGCAGTGCATCGAAATAGCAGGAAAGGAACACAGGCCACTGTGGCTAGCATTTTCAAATATCAAGAGAGCATACGATAGCGTGGTTGAAGAGGACTTGTGGGGAATACTAGACACAATAGGTGTGGAAGATGGAGTCACTAATCTTTTAAAGGATATCTATAAATGTAACAAAGCAGTTATAAAGTGACCAAGCCTACAGAAGTATAACAGCGGCTTATGCAGAAGTGTGCTTTGTCACCCTTGTTATTCATGATGTACCTACAAGGATTAGAGGCCAAATTAGAGGGAAGTGGACTGGGCTTCAACCTCTTTCGTCCAACAAGGAAAACTTATTGAACAGGCACTACTAGCATTAATGTACGCAAATGATATAGTGCTAATGGCCGAAAACAAGGACGATTTGAAGAGAGTGATGGACATCTCCGATAATGAAGGAGATAGGTTAGATTTCAGTTTCAGTAAGGAAAAATCAGAAGTCATGATTTTTAATGGTAACGAAGGTAGTGAGCTTAAAATACAGGAGGTCACGCTCGAGATAACAGATAAATACAAATATCTGGGCGTATGAATAAGCGATGGGGCCGAGTACCTAAGGGAACGTGAAGTATACGTGACGACTAAAGGTAACAGAATTGCAGCGGTGATGAAAAACAGGGCACTGTGGAATTACAATAGGTATGAGGTTGTAAGAGAAATATGGAAAGGGGTCATAGTTCCTCGTCTGACGTTCGGCAATGCGGTCTTGTGCATGAGATCAAAAGGTCAAGCAAGATTAGAAATTAAGCAACGTGGAATATGTAGGCTTGTCTTAGGAGCTAACGAGAATACACCAAATCAGGGAGTACAAGGGGATATGGGATGGACCTCATATGAGGGCAGGGAAGCTAGCAGCAAAATAAAATGTGAGAAGCGATTGATAGAAATGGGGGAGGAGCGTTGGGCTAGGAAGGTATTCAGCTACATGTACGTGAAGAATGTAGATACAAAATGGAGGAAGCGAACCAGAAAATTGACTGGTAAATACTTAGAAAACAGCAAGGGGCCAAACCAAAAACAAGTATCGGTTAAGAAGAAGGTGAAGGAAGCTGAAACCGATATATGGAGAATCGGCATGATTAAGTTTAGTTTGCACTAGAGATCTATCGAACTTTAAACAGGGAATTGCCAAGGAAACAATCTATGATAATACTCGGGGTAGTTCTCTACTGTTTGAGGCCAGGACGGAAGTATTGCGAACCAAGACATATCGGGCCAAATACGGCGGGGTAGGCACGGTATGCAGTGCTTGTCAAGAGGAAGAGGAAACTGCCGAACACTTGATAATGTTCAGTAAAGGGCTTCACAATATAGTTCAGGATGATGACGCAGAGTTTTTCAAAGCACTGGGGTTGAGGGACAGGGAGGGCAAAATAAACTTTGATATGTGGGGTTTAACGTCCCAAAACCACCATATGATTATGAGAAACGCCGTAGTGGAGGGCTCCGGAAATTTCGACCACCTGGGGTTCTTTAACGTGCACACAAATCTGAGCACACGGGCCTACAACATTTCCGCCTCCATCGGAAATGCAGCCGGCGCAGCCGGGATGGAAAAATAGACTTTATGCGGGTAGAATTAACTAGATGGAGGTTATCTGATTGTTGGCTAAAGTCAAGGCACGAGTGAAAATTAAGCCCTTCACTGCAAATTACGAGTCCTCAACCTCGCTATTTAAAGGAAAAAAAAAACAAATCTAGTTTTTCGTTCACTAAGTATTACGGCTTGCCCCCACCCAATCTAAAGGGTACAGCCATATGAATCCATCAACCCAGACCCTATTTAGAAATATATACGTGTTAAAACATATCAATTACCATGTTGAACCCCATATATAGATGAATAAATTAATAAGTCAATCAATCAATCAATCAACCAATTAACGTCCATCCGCACTATACCAGACTTTAAGGTATGGTTTGCTTGCAAGCCTGGATTGCGGAGTGGTTACGATACTTGTCTTCTTAGTGTGGGAACGCGGGTTCAAATCTATGTTCGTCAAAAATTTTCGTGCCAAAAATACCTTGTTTTTTTCAATTTCTTTTTTTCGGGCCCTTGTTCTTTTTATCTTTCTCTCCATACTCGTTATCTCACTCTTCGGGATTATTGCATTACGCTGAGGAGAAGTCACCGCGTGTTTTACGAGAGCGAAGCTGAAGAGGCAGAGGACGGAGGCAGCACCTGCCGGTTCATGATGATGGTTATTTATATTCGCGCGGCACGGACGGCTAATGGCGGGCTTTAATATTCAACTGTTAAAGCGGCCCTGTAACACTTTCTTACATATCCGCGGAATGTATTCACTAAACATGCATGTTGCCATACGAATTCACCACCGCAAAAAGTTTCAGAATTTGTCTCGTACGAGCAAGGCTATAAAGGTTTATCGCATGCTGCAACTTCATTCTCTCTCTCCTGCCGTTCCGACTAAAGCTCTGGAAGCTATGCAGGGAAAAACGGCACGAGGAAAGCGAATACGTCACAGGTGTCTCGTGAACTTGAGCACCTTTTTTTTCTTTTTTTTCCCTTCTGATGCGCAATTTTTCATTGCCATTTGGTGCGCCCGCGTGAACAAATCGCCGTCTCCCACGGCGATCCTTGTAACGACAAAATGGGCCTTGCTCAAATCAGCCAATGGCTGGTCGAACGGCTGTGATGAGTGATTTTTGAGCTTCTTCCGTCATTTGTTGAAAGAAGAGAAAGCAATGTTTGGTTGACTTTGGTCATTTATTGTGAACGGCAGGCCGCATGCTGCGCTATATTATTTGGCTCACGTATTCTCCTATTCTCACGTATTCTACTACCTATCGCCAGCGTTTTCTGACCACGCTGAAAAAGTGTTCCATTGAAGAAAGAATGAGCCAACCTTTCTTGACAGCATTGTGAAAGCGGTTACGGTGCGCCAACGGTGGCGGAGGTGGACAACTATACCCCATTACCATCGCCGTAGTCTGATAACAACTTTCACTGTAAAAAAGTATTATTAAAGAGCAAAACTTGATCCTACGACCTCTGCACCTGCACCAGAATGCGATCTCGGTGTGTTAGCGCTACACAACGCTGAAAGATAGCGTTTGAGCGGTTCTTTTTTCATGTCTTAAGTAACGCTGGTGATCTGACTGCGTTTTCTTTTAGGGAAGATCAGATTTGAGTGTCTCCGCGCGTGCGACAACCAAACAGACTGTAATTCATGTGTTTGATGTGTTTTTCTTGTGCTTCGCGAGTTCAGTACGTTCATCCAACACCTTTCGCAGTAGAAAAAAGAATGGCGTAATCGACTATATAAAAGGCCTTAGTACTGACTTACTCAGCAGTTAGTCATTTCTGTGTAGAAAACAACACACTTCTGAACTGTGTCTGAACAATTATGCTTTCGTAACTTAGTTGGACATCTCTACTGTCATTCTTGCACGGCCTTCGGCTACAGCCATGATACTTCACTGTAGATGAGCCATGCATAATGCATATACGCATACACCAGCGTCTTTCGTGCGCACCGTTCGTAGTGAGACACATAAACGATAAAATGAGAAAGCAGCAGCCATTTGAATTTGGTCTCGATTGTGATCGATTGAATAAGGTCATATTTCTTCATTTGTCAACACAAATATGCAGATAAAAACACCGATATTAAGACTTCGAAGTGCCTTCCAGTGCGCTGAAGTTCACTTGGACGAGCTGGAAACGCTGTTTTTTCGATTAGTGGATTCCAATGCCACAATAAATAGATGCAGTATTTTTTTTCTGCTTACATGTGTGGTTATTGCCACTCGCACACCTCCTCTGGTAATCACTCAGGGTGTGCCTGCGCATCAATATACAGATCAGGATCAGAAGTATAGCCGCCTTTTACCCTACCATGCCGGGAGAGTACATTCTACTCTTTCAGAAACAAATTATAAAGTAGTTTCACTCTCTTTTCATAGAGAGTGCCAATGTATTTCACTCTATCCTATTCCTTGCGAAAATAGAACACTCTGAAGAGTAACTATGCCTTTTTACTCCTGCGCTACCATCCACAGTTTTTAAAATGTGAAAACATCTTCAACTTCTACAGGATGTTTTACTTGAACGTCAACATTTAGAGGCTATTTGAGGAGGGAAAACACCTTTGCACTCCTTTTTTGAAAATTTTGATTAGGCAAAAGCGTGTTTGGCTTGCTCCAAGCCCAGTTAAAGATGCAAAGTGGTTTATTGTGTAGAAGCATCCCATATATTGTCGTTGAAAAAAATAACTGTTGATATTCAACTGTTGTCATAATAAGTCTCGTAGTAGCTCAGCGAAGTCACCAATTTCGTTGCTTATTAAACACTGCTTTGCAATATGCAACGTGCAAACTATATTTATAGCTGGCTGCTCTATTAAGCGATGGCGTGTAATTTCAGGCACACCCTCGCTGAAACAAAGAAACACACTTACCTTTTCATGTATCGAGATAATTGTTACTTACCAGTCGACGTCCTTGTTTTTCGCATTCTTGCAAGATACTTTTGCATTCCCAAATGAACTATTCGCGATTATTGATGTTACCACAATAACAAGTACCTCTATGCGGCAGGTAGCCATGTTACTTTTTGATTTTGTATTCTCAGTATGTGACAAAGCCGTTAAGGAGTTTGTATTATCTATTGCAGCGTATACTTCTTTTCCCTTTGTGGAGCGTGCTGCAACAAGGCGTCCTAGCCTCTGTACATGGCAGCCATGGCTGCTCCGCAAAAAAATGCTTTTTATACACATCTGATCAGAGAACTTATCTGCGTTGTTGTAAGTGCGAATCAAACGGGTGACGGAAAAAGAAAATTTACGTGTGGCTCTGACGACAAGCGCGACTTTCAGGCATTCTGCAAAGTATATTTTTCACTTTCCTTAAGTTGAAGTACTTAAACATATCGGGCAGTTAGCGCCCTATCTGTATATTTGTAGGGCTTGCCCTCTACTTGAAAAAGCGCATCTTCCAGACGAAGTCGTATAGGAGAAATGTGTCAGTCGACATTTGTCAAGCGTCTCTTGTGGCGAAATTATTAGAAGGGCAAATCTTTGAAAGTCGACCTCTAATAGCGAACAGGAAGCAGCACTTGTCAAACAAAGTTCGGCCACTTACTTTTCCCTTTTGTGAAAAGAGAAATGACCTGATGGCTCGTGAATCTATCGAATAATTACTTAAGAGGTTGCGAGACGATAGACCTAAAGCTGAAATTGCCAAAGAGGTCTCAAACAACAACAAAAACACTTTGCATATGGAGAAATTAAAGCGACTATGCTATTTACTCAAGAAGCAAGATCGTATATATTGGTTTTATGTACAAGGCAGGCACAATTTTAGATCAATGTTCCGCCTCTCTTCAATACGCAGTCGCATCTAGAAATCGAACCCACCTTAGCCAAGGATGATTTTTCAAGTCTTGTTTTCCTTTTATATGCACAGTTTTATATGCACAGTCAAAATTCGTTTCGAATGCAGATAGCGGACCATTCGTAATTGTATATTTTCTTAAACGCGGTATATTTAAAAAATGTTAATAAAAAGAAGAGGTGTGGGAAGAGGCCTCACTGTCGACCACCTGTTGGTAATGCACTCCCTCACTAGAGCAGGATTGGCCAGCCTGGTGCAGTGTTTGGCCACTGCCTTCCTTACAAACGTAAATGTTAACCCTTGAGCCGATCCCCAGCGGCTGGCTGCGAAGCAATTGTCCAAGCCGGCGATCAGACCTACGATGCAGCGGAGGGTGTTCATAATGCCCATGTCCATACAAGCCGCCATTGGCATGTGAACTTGGCTGCTTTCAATGCTAAAACGCTACCTAGTGAGGCTGGTCTAGCTGTTCGCTGGTGAAGGTAAGGTAACAATGGACCTGCTGAAAAATGGCGGAGAATTTGAGTTAGAAAAACTGGACACCTTATTTACAAAGTGCTTCTTTTCGAGAAGGGTACCAGAACCTAAAAAAAACGCCAGCATCACATTTATTTAAAAGAAAGCAGACGTCAAGGACTTGAAAAATTACAGGCCTACCAGGTTACTAGTCGTTCTCTACAACCTATTAAAAATAATGAGCCATCGAATAAAGATGACATTATAGTTGAATCAGCCAAAGGACTAAGCAGAATTTCCTACAGGCTACTCCAAAAGAGACCATATTCATACTATCAAACAGGTAATGAAAAAATGAGCGGAGTACAACCAAACGCTATATACCTTTCATAAATTACGACAAGGTGTTTGACTCAGTCCAGACATCAGCAGTAATGCAGCCACTACGAAATTAGGGCATCGAGGAACCCTGAAACTGACTGGATTTCCAGAGAAGACAAACGCACGAAGGGGAAGCAGAAGGTTGATTGATTTGTGGGGTTTAACGTCCCAAAACCACCATATGATTATGAGAGACGCCGTAGTGGAGGGCTTCGGAAATTTAGACCACCTGGGGTTCTTTAACGTGCACCCAAATCTGAGCACACGGGCCTACAACATTTCCGCCTCCATCGGAAATGCAGCCGCCGCAGCCGGGATTTGAACCCGCGACCTGCGGGTCAGCAGCCGAGTACCTTAGCCACTAGACCACCACGGCGGGGCGGGAAGCAGAAGGTTAGGTGGACCGATGAGAATAAACAGTTCGCAGGTATAACGTGGCAGCAGAAAGCACAAGACCGGGTTGATAGGCGGATCACGGGAGAGGCGTTTTCCCGGCAGTGGGCGCTGTCATGTTGATGACGATGACACAAAGTTTCGAATGCAGTCTACGTTTTATGTTAAAAGAGCTCCAGCATTTGTTTCTTCAGCTTGCTCTCAACAGCACTAAATATTTCATAAATCTGATTTTGTGGGGTACTTCTTGGCACAAAGGCAAGGTAAGATAAATGAGCACCATGCTCATGTGTACGAGCAACCTCCTAAGCGATGCAAAAAAAATTTCAAGTGAGATATATATGTCTGTAAAATATGTAAAACTGAACTCTGTATAATGTTTTAGGCACGAAATGACTGTAGTGACCAATTAATGTAATGTCAATGAGAAAGAAAGAAAGAGAGAGAGATACAAAGCGGAAAAGCAGGAAGGTTAACCGGGAAACGAATATCTGGCATGCTACCCTGCACAGGGGAAGGAGTAAAGGGAGACACAAAGGTAGCGAAAAGATGAATGAGAGACGGAAGGTTGGAAATACAGAAACACACAACTAGGAGTGTCATAAACGTTCTACCAGGCGGGTCGCTCACACGAACTTTGACAGTTCTAAAGCTAGCATCTGTTCCGTGTACGAATGCAACCGATGAGTGAAGCTTTTAGAAGTATAAGAAGGAAACGGCTATGTACGTTCGAGACTGTTAAGTATTAGACATTAGTATTAGTATTATTAAAACACAGTAGTAGACATTTCATAGAATATTTCCAGTTTTCGCTTAGTCTTGAAAAAGCCTGTTTCTTGCTTGTGCATGCAACGGTATCTCGAGGGGTTTGATTACAACGTCCTGCCACAAAACTCAACCAGATGTGCGAAACTGATTGACGTTGGCGCACATACCCACGTAATTTGACACCTTACGCGGCAAGCGTGTCTACGTCTTTTGAACGTCCACCGGCACGTTTACGCACTGTCCCTTGACACAAAGCCGTTGCTTGACACAATATTGAGCTCCTAGTTAGGTGAGACGGCAAATGTACATGAAGGGGACTCGGGATGAGATTAGTCGATCGATTCTTCGACGAGATTCAGCCTTGAGAAGTGATGCTGTTTTGCGGCAGGTAGTAGAAGCCACTAATTATGCTAAACGGTGGCACGTAGCGATCTGTTGCACGTCCCGCACAATTCAAACTCGGCGTGGTCGTCCACACTTAAGAACGCTTTCTCGAGCACTCCGACTGCGAGTTCACAGTATACGAATACCACTGATTCAAGACAGGCTCTTCTTCAGAGTGCATCGCATACGCGCTAACTATGTCCGAAAGTGCACTGGTAAAGTGGCGTCTGAAACGACTGTATACGCACCGATGTTCAGGTGGAGTGCGCACTTCGTTGTTTGCGACTGTCACGCCGTGATCAAACACGCGATCTCACGGTCAGCAGCGAGTGTCATAACAGCTACGCTACTGCAGCCACTGGGCGAAGGAATGCATGTGATAGCAACAAATTATAAAGTGATAATAGAAGTATGGCCATCAGCAAACTCTTTTGGATACAATCTCGCGTAACTCGTGAAAACGCTGGTTCATGAGAACATGGCCGCTCTGAGAACCGAACCCATGGTGGTGTCACTCCATGCACGTTCCATAAGATGCATTCATTTATGACATCAGCTCTGGTAGCGCCAAACGTAGCTTCAGTCATGACCTGGTGATTGAGATTCAGATATTCAAACTGTATGAATGGCAGCGCAAAAAGTATTCGCCGTCATAGCTATACTAGCACCAGCCACGGCTCCTCTCTTAGCTCTCTCCACCTCGCAATTTGTTTTTGTTTTGCGTTTGATTAAATAAACCCACTACCCGCCCGCTTGGTGCAGGGCATTGAGTTTTTTTTGTTTTTTATGCATACACTTGCTCGTTCTTCAGGGTGCGTTCTTTGAGCGTTTGAATGTAAGCAGTCCGCAATTGTGCATACTGCAAACACTGTATTCGTGCAACATGTACCCCCCAAAAATAATGAATTGGCCTCACAAAATATATTTGCCTTCGTTTTCTTGTGCTCATTTACGAAAAAAATTAACATTTTCATCAACTGTGGTGCAATGCAGGCTGTGGAGGTTTACAGAAGTGATGAATAGATTAACAGAGCATTAGCACACACACACCAACTATACCTTCGGACACCTTTATTGGAAGAGAAGGGCGAAGCTTCTGCACACGCACTATTACAGAAAGTAGTCCGGTATGTCATGCGTTGCGTGCCGTCATAAAAAGTGATAACTGTGCGCCATCAGCGTTTCATATCGACGTCCACGCCACTTGGCGTTCGAAGTAGATGTAAAAGGCGTGGAATTCTCACACTTAAAAAAACCTGAAGTGGCCGAGAATAAATTTAAAGAAATAAAAATATCTTACTGGTGGGAGCTGCACCATGTATCAAAGAGTTTAGTGCACAATATCAAAGCTGTATTTTTCATAACTCACGTGAAAATGAGAACCATAGTTTAGGACTACATTCATTAGCGCTAGGATGCGTGCGATTTTGTACGTGATATATAAACAACACAATATTTAGCAGAGGAGTTAAAAACTTGATAAATAGTGGACTAAGAAAGTAAATGTAACACCTTGCTACATTCACATATTAGAAACTTGCTTTTTTTAGAGTAAGAACAGTGCAGAATAGCTAATGCATGCGCACAATATTGCACAGGTAAACTTGTACATCATTATAATAACCAGGAAAAATGAACATTCACACCAACACAAAAACGATACAAGCAGTTGAAATACCAGTTGAAAATGAACATTTGAAGATGTCAAAACCAACTCTACGTGTAACGTAACTTATGTTTGCTGCACTGTATTGACTACAGCTTCGTAAACATAGATATTCATTTAACCACTGCTGATAAACCAAGAGAATTCGAAGATAAAATATCAAACAACTCATGCCATGTTTCCTTGAAATGCGCCTATTATGCAAAGCTCCACCTTTTCTCTGGGCGAACTCATCAGCTGTGGCCTTCCGGAATAGTTTAAAGACGCTGCCATTTTGAAGAAAGGTGTCAGTCTCCAATGAGATTAGGAGCGCAGTAAACTCGGGC